AGCGATATCCGAGTTACAATTGTTGTTAAATACTACAATTTTGAAAAATACTCGTTTTGATCCGCGCACGACAGCAGATCATTGTACCCTAAAATTTGCCCTCCCATATTTCTCAAAACATTGCAAGAAAGATCTCCAAATTGCTCAAAGTAGTCCAAGGGTTGGCCAGATAAGCTCTCTCCTAAGGCAGTCTACTCAAATTAGGGTTTTGTGTTGCATCAAGATCCTTGAGTCCAAGTGACCCCAAGTGCTCACCAATGTCCTAATATGTTCTCAAGGTCATCCATGTCAAGTTTCAAGCCTTGCAGAGGAATTTTGCTCATGCAATTGCTCAAAAGGTCCAAAAATCGACTGTGCTAGGGCAAAAGTCAACTGTGACCCAAATACAGTCAAACTTCAAGATTTTTTGTCAACATTCTCATTTTGAAGGATATTTCATCATTTGATCAAGGGTTGATCATGATTCATCAAGGATTGCTCAAAATTCATCAAGATTCAAAAGTTGCTAAATTAGGGTTTTGTAGGAAAACTCACCTCAACTTTGACCAAGCATATCTTTCTCATACTTTATGATAAATGACCCATCCAAATCTCATTTTGAATAGGATGCAATTACCTACAATCCATCTTCATACCCCAAGATCAAAATATGCACTCACAAGAAGTTATGAATTTTGACATTATAGGTCATTTTTGAAAGTCAACAAAAACACCTTTTTTTTAAAAGCTTCTAACTTGAGCATGGAATATCAAAATGAGATGAGACAAAAAGGGTTGATTATAGGACATCTCAAGCTTTCTAAAAAGTCCAAGAAAACCTCCAAAAGTTCAAAATTGAGGAAGTTATGCATTGTTGAAATTGGACTTTTTTGCAAAATTGCCAAAAGTCAACTATCCCCAAAACTTCAAATTTTGCCAAATGGGCCCATTCTTTTTCACTTGTTTTGAGTTTGCATTATTGTCCACGTGCTCTAGCTTTGCCCATGTGTCCATATCATAATTTTATTAATTATTTTGATTTTGATTTGAATTAATTTGAATTAAATCAAAATAAATCAAATAAAATCAAAAACATTGAAAACTAAAGATCTTGTGATCATTTCAGGTCTTGTTACACAACTAGCATCCTTCCAAACTCGTATCAAGCCATAAGTGTACAAAAAGATGTGATTTGGATCAAATTTGGAAAACTTTAATGGAGGATCAAATCAAATATCAAAATCATCAATGGAGGAAGATTTGGACAAATTTTTTTACCCTAATACATTGTGCATTACATAAGGAAGCGAGGCATACAGAAATAAGGGTTGGAGATCAGTTCTAGAGGCAGAACAAAATTTGCCAAAAACAAGAAAAAGTGTGAGATCGAAATCAGGTTTAGAGGCAATTTCAAGACTTAAGGCTTGTCTCAATCTCTTCCTGGCCATCGCCACAAGCGAAAGCAACCAAGACCACGCGTTTTCAAGCTCCCCAGAGCTTTGTAAGTCACCGACGTATTCACTATATTCTTGATTTCGTATTTTTAAATTTAAGCATTGTTAACATGAAATAATTGCATATTCTTAATCCAACAGCATTTGCAAACTTTTTGTAATACCCAATTTCATTTATCTGACCTATATCGAGATCCACCATTGCTAGGGCTTCGTTCTTGTTTTCGGGGTTTCTTGTTTCAGGAATAATTGGTCCCAAATATGGGCATGGTTGCATCCAGGAGGGTGAGTCGAACTCAACCCTGGTCTTAGAATCCATTTCCATGGCCGGTACAAGGTTTTGAAGGTAGACATGTTTGTAGCGACGGACCTTTGTCCGTTGGTATAAGTGTTTGTGTTTTTAGCAACGGTTCAGGGACAGGGATGATGAGTTATCATCCATTCATGGGACCATTCAAATAACGCGCGCTCTTTTTTTATTTATTTCTGGCAATTGATTTTGTTTTATATATATTACATTATGTTTGTATTATTATAACAAATGAAACAACGCAGCCCAGTGGTAGACACCTCATCGCTTAAGGCATCCCAAGGCTGGAGGTCAGGGGTTCGATCCTTGCCTCCAGCAATTTGCATTTTCTTGTTATTTTTCAGGCAATCTAGTGCACACGCCAACATGATGATCATCATACTCCCTCACCAATCAACACGCCAGATGGCCAGATGGCCAGATCTGGTGGTCAAGCTTGGAAGGCGTACCATAAGCTAGTCAACGCATGTGCACAAGATCACAAAAAGTCCAATGGACCAGCATCAATTGAGCCAACAATCTGCTTTCCACACCTCCATATACCAGGCCCATTCTCACTCTTTTTTTATTTTGTTCATTTAATTTAATTACTTTATTTTATTTAATTAATTTACTAACCAATAACAAATTTTATTTTTTTATCAAAAAATCACAAAAATACTTTTTATCCAATTAAAATTTTGAATTTTATTTTTTATTAATAAATACTAACTAATTAATTAGGTTTAATTCTAGAACAACTTTAATTTATTTTGTAAATAGTTAAAATCAATTAGAATTAATTAGGTTTTAACTTTAGTTCAATTATTTTAATTTCTTTCTTAAATTAACAAAAACTCCAAAAACATGTCATTAATTATTTTTTCATTTAATTAATTTAATAATTAATTTAGGATTTAATTTCTTTTCTTAAAATAAAAACAACAAAAACATTTTTCTTTTAAAAGGGTCAAAACCCTAAATTTCGCATTCGATCCGATTATCTCGCGCGATTTATCTTTCCTTATTTAATTATTGATGTATCTGCTCCCGACTTGTAATAGTTTTAAATAGGACATTTATTTATGTTACCGCTTTATTTTATTTTCAAAGGGTTGCTTTTGGTGATGTAAATACCCGACGCCTTGTAATAATTTAGTTTAAATTCCGCATTTTAATTCTGCAAATTATATAACTGCTAGATGTTTGATAATAGGGTTTGCATGACAAGAATGAATGCTTAATCTTAAAATCAAATTAGATCACCCTAAACATGTGCAAAGATAAAAATAACTGAAAACAACACACTCGCACATGCACACTCCTAGGGTACACCCCACTTGGTTGCCTTCGTACACGGTCATTAAGCATAGGTCATTTTAGAGGTCGTCCTCTTGTCTAAAAGATCATAGTTGCCTCGAAACGGTTGCCTCGGATATTGTTGCCTCAAACAAATGATCTAAGACATTAGGGTTACCGCTAAGGCGTCCTAACATTGCTTTAGTGACCGTATGTCCCTCTTTCGAATTGACCCTCAAACTCCAACGACGGTGCTACCTACTCACTAATAGTGGGATAACATCGTCTAAAGGAAATTAGCATAGAACGATTCATTTTTTGAGTAGGTAGATAGTTCTTAGATACTTGCTCATCCAAAAACAAAACAAAATTTTCACACTTACACTCCTTTTCAAACAAAGTTTTCAAAAAACACTTCATTACACTCTTGAGGACAAAAGCAAGAGTTAAATCGAAGTTAAAACAAAGCTTTTCAAAACCCACAAGCACAAAGAAAACAAATTTTGAAAATGATGAGCAAGTACCTAAGATCCCGTAGATAACTACAGATAGAAAGGGTGCTAATACCTTCCCTTTCTATAATCTACCCCCGTACTAAAAAATATCTCGAAAAAGGAATTTTTCTGTGCTTTTTTCCTTTCCTTATTGGATAAAATAAAAGTCGGTGACGACTCTTGCTTACCGCGACATTTTGCAAAAACAAACACAAAACGCAAACCAACATTCCAAAAACAGTCAGTTCTTCCCATCGTATCACAGTGAAATTGCACTCATACGATGAACTAAGAGCATTGGATGCACCTTAGCCAGAAATCAATTTTTAACATTGAAGGTACTTTGATTTGAATATGTGGAATAGACTAATGAACAATTACTTTTTCGAAAATACATTTTCGAATTTACCTTAGAAAAATTTGGAGATGCATCTTCGAACTAAATTTTGACAAAAATGAAGAAATGGTGCATTCGGAGATGTATCTTCGAAAATACAAGGTATTTTGACATTTCATCAGGAGCCTGAGAGAAAGTATAAGAGTGCAATGAGAAGTCCCGTAATAGTTAATCAGAAACCTAACTTTAAATCTAATTATCATTATCGTATCTAATTAACTATCTATTTATTAAAAGAACATGCATGCAAACTATCAATAATACCTTTCACCTTAAATTTGTTTACACTTGCAAAAGGTTAAAATAGTCAAAACTTAATCTCTCAATTAACTCACCTTACTTCAACCAAATGCTACCAAGTGTCAAGTTCATATTTAATGCTTTTCAACTTCCACTTTTTCTTCCACTTCTCACTCTTTCACTCACCATCTCACTCTTCTTTCTCTTTTCATTTTATTATTTTATCTTTTCTACCTAATTATTTTATTTTTTCCTAATTATTTCTAATATATTAAAATATTTAATTATATTATATGATTATACTATTTATTGGTGTATGAATGTATACAATATTTACATTTAATTTTATTTTTACGATAAATTTAACTAATTTTCTTTATTTATTATTATTATTATTAAAAATATTAATTACTCTATTTTTAAATTTTAATAAAATTAAAATTTTATTTTATAAAATTGGACAGTACATAATAGCCATATATACAATTAACTTTTTATCTAATAGATACTATAAAAAATATCTATTATATTTTAATTAATAATTTCATTATTTAAGATATAAAATTCTTATTTTTAAATGTCAAAATTTTTTTTCACGAAACTCTATCAACAAAATACTATTTTATTTTAATTAATAATTTATCTTTATTTATTTATGACAATTAATTCTTATTTTAAAATTTTAAAATTTCTTTTTTCCTTACGCTATTTTGTTAGTTATTCATTGTAAAACTTAGGATCTAATCTACCTAGTTATCATTCCCGCGGCTCTCAAGATTAGAACCACTCGTTTTCTTTCTCTTTCTGTCACCGTCCCAAATCCTTCTTTCCCCTTTCAGACAACAACAATGGCGCACAAACTCTCACTACATTTCAATCACACTTCTCTCCTTCAAAACCGCATACTCTTTTCACACTCTAAACGCCACTCACCTCTTCATTTCATCGTACCTTCCCTTCTCAACAACACCACTCTCCATTCAACTAACCAATGCATTATAACTTCAAACCACCGTCACTCAGGATTCATACCAGCTCGCGTAGTTCAAAATCTCAACGTCATAGATGAATATGAAGACACCGAACAAATCAGCGAGGGTTTTGACGTGGAGAGAGATAAAGAAGAAGTGAATGAACTGGTTGAGCAGAGTATATGGATTCAGATGAAGGAAATTGTTTTGTTTACTGGACCTGCTATTGGACTTTGGTTGTGTGGTCCTTTCATGAGTCTCATTGATACTGCAGTTGTTGGCCAAGGAAGTTCAATTGAACTAGCTGCTTTAGGTATTCATTCTTATCGCTTTCGCTATTTTATTTGTACAATTGCGCTGTAATGTATGATGCCTGTGGATTTCGTTGTCTGTGAGCAGGTCCTGCTACTGTTTTTTGCGATTATTTGGGCTACTCTTTCATGTTTTTGTCGATTGCTACTTCAAATATGGTTGCTACTGCACTTGCTAAACAGGTTAGTTCCCTTCTGTTATGTGGTACAAAATATTGATCAATATGTATTTGTAGACATAGCTGTGTCAGTGGTTAGTTTCACATTGGTTGTGAATGAGCTAAATGGATGATATACAAGAGAGATGATTGGAATGATAAATGTTAAGGTTTTGAGTGGAAATGTTCAATTTGGTCTTTTATTGATCCTCATTATTAACTTCTTGTTGCTCCCTATACTTCACAAATTCTCAAACAAGAGCTATTAGATCTGTTGGTTTGTAATGGCAATTAAAGTATAGTGATGTGAGGGATTCACAATCGATGAAAAGATTGTTAGAATTCAAGTCAGTGGTTAGTCTTCTATTGACTAGGAATTGACCAAATGATGCATATAAAAATAAAAGATGTGAACTATATACACCCAACAGTGATAGAAGTGGAGGATAATATCTAAAGTAATGAATGATCAGGTGGTTGTTCTTAAAATGTAATTGTGTAAACACACATGTTGTTTTCGATTTTAAAAAATTGCCACAAAGGAAAATTATCAGGACGAGTCGTGTACTAGGTCGCTTTCTTTAAGACGTTTCGCCGTACTACCAATAATTATGCAAAGCATTCGAGTTTCGACGATGTCTCCATGATAAAACAGCCCGTTCAGAATAACGATTATCACTTGCACCATAAAGAATCGTTCGTAGAGATACACCTTCAGATGATATAAATTCAGTCGCAATATCCGGAAAATTCTAGTCTTTAATGGCGTAGTAAGCCAGTCGAAAAACAAGAAAGAAATTTTTTAGATGAAGCAGAGCAGAGAGAGAGAAAAGAGAGAATTCAAATGTGAATTCTGGAGTAAGTTGCAAATGAACCGAAGAACTCTATTTATAGGCAAAGGATCCAACTGAGTGGAACAAAAATCGTAGGAGAAAAACGTGGGAGGGAGTGGAACCGACCCAGTCAAAAGTAACTGTTTTTCACTTGGTCAGCAAGTCACACGTATGATTCTTGGAGAGCAAGCAAATCAGTCAAAAACTAGGTTAAGACTTGGTATTTGTGGAGGACACGTCACCATATTCGTAATTAATTAATATTAAATATTAACTAATTTCCACTACTATTAATTAAATAATAGTAATTAATTTTCACCAAATTAATTAATTAATAATTAATTTCCATCGATTCGGGTTTCAAAAAATTAATTCATCTAGACCAGACCGAACCGAACTGAGCCAAACGGACGGCGCACGCGCGTGTGTCTAGATGGTTTAGGGGTGTGTCCTCACTCCTTTACAAAATTGGATACCCCTTGGGACCCAACTATTTTACCAAGTTCGAATATATATATATATATATATATATATATATATATATATATATATATATATATATATATATATATATATATATATATATATATATATATATATATATATATATATATATATATATATATATATATATATATATATATATATATATATATATACTACTAATAGTTGTGTTCCCTCCGACGTGTAACTAAAATAAATAGTTTCAAATTCACTTCCATATTAGTTCTTACGCTCACTTATTGCTCATTTAAAGTCAATAAATCATTCCAATTCCCACTCCAAATTATCATCCTTCCAAGGTTTCCTAACAATAAAAACCTGTAAGTTTTTTGGCATTTTCGTTGCATCATATCCATAACTTAACACACAGAACTTTTACGATTTATTGCACTGCGTTTCATGAGTAAATATGTTTGTGTAGGACAGGGCGGAAGTGCAGCATCACATATCTGTCTTGCTTTTTATTGGGTTAGCATGTGGCTTGGCGATGCTTTTGTTCACAAGGCTATTTGGTGCACCAACGCTCGTAGGTATTGAAAATGAGAGCTCGGTCCAGTTGAATCTCTTTTTGGGATAATACTACTTCATTAATGCATAAGTGGTAACCCAGCCTACTCCATGACTGATGAATTGTTCTATTTAATATTTATGGCTTTTTCAGCTTTTACTGGAGTGAAGAATGTACATTTAGTACCTGCAGCTAATACTTATGTCCAGGTTTTTTTTCTTCTGATTACTATACTTCAATTAAATTAAGATTCTAATAGATGTTTTTAAAATCCAAGAAATCATTTAACAATTTATGACAAGAAATGAGTAATTTCAATTTCCATTTCTTGTAATAGTAAATAAAGGTTTGTATGGCAACATTTCTTTTATTAAAGAATACAACCTTTCAAATGGGATTATGCTTTTGTTTCTTCATTAAATACTATGAAAAAGTAAATTATTTCTCATATTTTAAACATTGAAAGTTACAAGAAATATATACAGAATTCCTATACTATTTAAGGAAATAGTAATTATGTTGTTATAATTGCATATCTATAAAATTAATGAGATTTCAATCTGTACATAAATAAGAAGATATTACATATTTTCTAAATTAATTTCTTTAAATACTGAAATTTCCCACACTCCCCCTCAAGTTGGTAATAGGTGTTATCCATTCCTAGCTTGGACAAGATTCTTTCAAAATTATGGCTGTTGAGTCCCTTGGTTAGAATATTTGCAAGTTGATTTTGAGATGGCACATATGGTGTGCATATCAAGTCACTGTCAAGTTTTTCTTTGATGAAGTGTCTGTCAACTTCAATATGTATGGTTCTATCGTGTTGCACTGGGTTATGAGCTATGTTAATTGCTGATTTATTGTCACAATAAAACTTCATTAGTTCTTCCCACTTTATCTTTAAATCTTCTAGGATGACTTTCAGCCAAAGGAGATCACATATACCTTGTACCATGGCTCGAAATTCTGCTTCAGCACTAGACCTTGCTACAACACTTTGCTTTTTACTTTTCCAAGTTACAAGATTTTCTCCAAGAAAGGTACAATACCCTGTTGTTAACCTTCTATCCACAATTGACCCTGCATAGTCAGCATCTGTATAGGCTTCAAGCCATTTCCATTACGTTTGTAATATAATTCCTCTTCCTGGGGTTCCTTTAAGGTAGTGAACAATTCTGAGTGCAACTTGCAAATGATTCTCCTTTGGGTTATGCATAACCTGGCTGACTAAACTCACTGCATAGGCAATATCTGGCCTGGTGTGAGATAAGTATATAAGTCTGACCACCAGTCTTTGATACATCTCTTTGTCTACTTCAATGTCTTCTTCTGAATTCCCAAGCTTTTGGCTCGGATTGACTGGAGTGTTGGCAGGCTTGCATACTGATTTTCCAGTCTCTTTAAGTAGATCTATCACATACTCTTGCTGAGATATGAAAATCCCCTTCTTGGAGTGAGCTACCTCAATTTCCAAAAAATATTTAAGCTTTCCCAAAGTCTTGATTTCAAATTCATTTGCCAAGCATTTACTCAACCTTTCTTGCTCCTTTATATCATCTTCTGTTAATATAATATCATCAACATAAACCAGTAACACAGTCACTTCCCCTGACTTTGAATGTCTGATAAACAAGGTATGATCACCTTGACTTTGTCTATAATCCAAATTTGTCATAACTTTGGTAAACCTGCCAAACCATGCTCGTGGGAACTATTTCAGCCCATACAAGGCCTTTTTTAGTTTACACACTGTGTTCGCAACACCCTGTCCACCATATCCTGGAGGCAACTGCATATAAATTTCCTCTTCAAGTTCCCTGTGTAAAAATGCATTTTTTACATCAAATTGTTGTAAGTCCCAACCATAATTTGCTGCAAGGGATAAAATCACTCTTACCGTGTTCATTTTGGCAACCGGGGCAAATGTTTCCAAGTAGTCAACTCCATAAGTTTGTGTGAATCCCTTAGCCACTAACCTTGCCTTATGTCTTTCGATTGAGCCATCAGCTTTGTATTTTATTGTATACACCCACCTACATTCAACTGGTTTCTTCCCTATTGGTAAAGTCACTAACTCCCATGTATCATTCTTCTCTAAAGCTTCCATCTCTAAATTCATGGTCTGCTTCCATTTTCTATCATATAATGTCTCGGATAGGGTACTAGGTGTAGAGGTATTATTTAGGTTAGTAAGGAAGGTTTTATGGGTAGGAGAGAAGTTTCTAAAGGATAAGTAATTTGAAAGAGGGTAAAATGGATGTTTGGCACATTCTCTGGGTTTTTTCCTGATGGCTATAGGCAAGTCATCTTCATTTATTTTCACAGTTTTTTCAGGTTCAGTTGGTGGATTAGGAATTAATAGAGAATTAGAAAAGGTTACTTTGTTAGGATCTTGATTTTGGGTGGACTCTTCAACATGCATAGTGTGTGAAATAGCCTTTGGTTTTCTAGAGTACACCAGAGTTTTTCCAAATCTGACATAACATTTTCAGGTTCAACATGCTGCTCAGGCTGCAGAACCTGTTTAGGATGGTCAGTAGGTTCTAATGACAAATCAGGAAAAAAGAATCCCCCATCTTCTCTAAAGCTCTCCCCCTGAAGATGAGAGTTACAAAAATAGCTCTCATATTCATTGAATGTAACATCTCTAGACACCTAGAATTTTTTCGAAGGTGGATGATAACATTTATATTCCTTTTGAGTGGAAGAGTATCCTACAAAGACACACTTAAGAGCTCTAGGGTCAAGTTTTCCCCTTTTTGAACTATGAGTATGAACAAAGGAAGCACACTCAAATATTCTTGGTTTAAGATCATTTGTTGTGGACAAATTTGGATAAAAGGAGGGCAGGACATCCATAGGACTCTTTGATTCTTAAACTCTAGTAGGTAGCCTATTAATAAGGTAGGTTGCAGTGAGGGCAGCTTCTCCCCAAAAAGTTTTTGGGACATTATTTTGAAATAAAAGAGCCTGGGTCTGATTGAGGGTGTGCCCATTTTTCTTTTCTGCCACTCCATTTTGTTGTGGTGTTTTAACACAAGAAACTCATAGATAATACCCTCTTTTTGACAAAAAGAATTAAGTGCATTATTGAAATAGTCTTTGGCATTATCTGATCTAAGTCTCTTGATGTTAACACCAACTTGATTTTTTATCATGGAGTAAAAATTCAAAAAGGTTGAGCTGACCTCGGATTTGTGTTTAAGCAAAAACACCCATGTAACACGGGTGCAATCATCTATAAAAGTTATAAACCACCTAACACCAGACACATTTGCTGATACGAACTAAAACACAGAATTGTAGTAATATAACAGTACAAGCAGAAAACAGAGGAAAAGAGAGCTTTATTATAGTGAATATGAATGGGAAACAGTTACAGAAAAGGGAATGTAACCCTAGATCTGACAAGAGCTAGGCTCCTAATAGGAAGCTATAGCTCCCTATTCATGCTAGTAAATCACTATAATCCAAGGTAAGATCTACATTCTCCCTCTGATCCCTTATATCGTGGAAATGGATTGCAAAGTGCTCTCCTCACTCAAGCCACGTCACAATATTATAACTAACTAGCCACCAATTCCCTTCTTACCCTTCCTTCTAGAATACACTTTCCACTCTTGGGGTCCACTTGATTCCTTGTAAATCAGCCGCTCACGTGGCAATTCTTTCTCAACTAACTGAGTCCTATCAATACCCTCTCCTTCCGCAATGGCCTTGTCCTCAAGGCCAAACTTTGGAAATTGGCTTCTGATCATTATCTCATCTTCCCAAGTTGCTTCTTCTGCTGTCTTGCCTTTCCAGTGTACGAGGATTTGCCTTATTTCTTCATCTTGTTTTTTTTACCTTCCTAGTGGCTAGTACCCGCCTCTGGTTCATACACTTCAATATGTTCCTCCAATATCTCGGGTAACTCATCCTCTTCGTGATAACTCCCCACAGCCTTCTTCAATAATGAAACATGAAAAACAGGATGCACTCTGGACCCTTCGGGCAGCTTCAGTCTGTATGCCACTGCTCCTACCTTCTCAATAATGGGATAAGGACCGTAGTATCTTGCTGCTAATTTCGCACAAATTCTGGTCACTACTGATTGCTGTCTATGAGCCTTCAGCTTGACAAACACCCATTCTCCACATACAAAACTCCTGTCCGTGCGTTTCTTATCAGCTTGACTCTTCATCCTCTCTTGTGCTCTCAATAATTGGTTCCTTAATTGTCTCAAAGCCTCATCTCTGTCCAATAATTCTCTCTGCACAGCTTCAACTCTAGTCTCTCCTTGACTCCATTGAATTAGTTTTGGAGGTGGCCTTCCATAAACTACCTCAAATGGTGTCTTCTCGGTGGCAGCGTGAAAAGTTGTATTGAACCAATATTCAGCCCAGTGTATCCACGATACCCATGTCCTAGGTTGATCTGCAATGAAACACCTCAAATAGGTTTCCAAACACCTATTAACCACCTCTGTCTGCCCATCCGATTCGGGATGATATGCGGTACTCATTTTCAGCTTAGTTCCCTGCAGTTTGAACATCTCCCTCCAAAAACTACTCATAAAAATGGGATCCCTATCGCTTACTATGGACAGAGGAATGCCATGGAGTTTGACTATCTCCTTACAAAATACTTCAGCAATACTCCTAGCTGTATATGGATGTCGCAGAGGGATAAAATGAGAGTACTTTGACAGTCTGTCCACCACCACTAAAATAGCTTCGAAACCTTTTGACTTTGGCAACCCGGTGATGAAGTCAATCGATAAATCATCCCATATCTGATGAGGAATGGGTAGAGGTTGTAACAAGCCTCCTGGAGATGAAGCCATGTACTTCTGTCTTTGGCAAATGTCGCATCTTCTTACAAAGTCTTGTACGGTTCCTTTCATGCCTATCCAATACACATTAGCCGCAATTCTTCTATAAGTTTTGTAGAACCCCGAATGTCCTCCTTGGGGTGTTGAGTGGAATTCCTCTAACAATGTAGGAATTAGCAAAGAATTGTTGGAAATCACCAACCTACCTTCATACATTAAGACACCTTGCTTGTACTCATACCCAGGCCATGTTTCTGCATTTTGTTGAACCTCTTCTATTATTTTCTGCAACCTTTCATCCTGTTGGTTTTCTGTTTTAACCTGTTCCATATGCAGCCATCTCCATTGGTAATTCATGGTAGCTAACTCCCCTCCCTCATGAATTCTGGACAAAGCATCGGCTCCCTTGTTCAATTTACCCTGTTTGTACAC